AAAAAGAAAAAAATATATACAACTGTGGAAAAATCTTGATTCATTGAAAATCTTATTTATTGTTGTTGCTGTTGCAATGCAAAATAACAAAAAAAAAGAAAACAGCAACTAAAATAAATAAAAAATGTGTGTTTGAATAGAGAGAGAGAATACCCGACCCACCAATAAGAATCAATCTTTAATCTGTTTTTAAGCTTTCTCTTGTTGTGCTCGTTTTTGTTTGTGTGTGTCTGTGCTGAGTGTTTTGTGTGTGTTCCCCATCATGTGCCGCCTGGGGGTTCTCCGCCTCTCGCGCGCTCTGTGTGTGTGTCAATTTGTGTTGTGTGAACGCGTGTAAATAAATAGCAAATGATAATGATGACGGCGATGACTTCAAGTCAAATAGATAATAACGAAACACAAACACTCACACACACACCCCTCTCATAATCATTCACAATAGATAGCGGTCTATGAATGCATTTAACGAGGCGACAATTTGCAAGGAACTTTTTGCAATAAAAAATAGGATATTTGAGTAGGATCAGACGCACATTATGACCATTCACAATAGACAATACTCGAAGAATACGTTTTAGCTGCAATTTTTTATAAATGCAAAGAGATTTTGTGATAAAAATAGGATATTAAATTGTAAAATTAGGGCTTAACAATTATGACAGCAGTTTTCTATGACTATGTTTACATTTAATGTATTTTAATAAATCTTCTCATTAAAATGCTCGCATAGGAAGTGAAAAATAAATAGAAAACACTCTATCCGTTCACAATAGATAAAACTCGAAAAATGCATTTTAGCGGCATTTTGTAACTTGCAAAGATATTTTGCGATAAAAATACGATATTAAATTATAAAACTCGAGAACTTAAAAATGACAGCAGTTTTCTATGACTATGTTTACACTTTGACGTATTTTAATAAATCTTCTCATTAATGTGTCCGCATAGAAAGTTAACAGTAAATAGATAACACTCTATCCATTCACAATAGATGATACTCTAAGAATGCATTTTAACGGCATTTTTTGGGTTAGGCTAGAAGTAGGATTACACTAAACGAGTTTAAATTAAACTATTCATTTAAATGTCATAATTGGAAGGAGAAGAATTTTATTGTAAAATGTGAAATTTTGACTGGCTATAGGTTTTCGTTGAGCGTGTTCTAATAAAACATCTCATTTAAAAGTACCCTTAAAATATAATATATTAAGGCCCTCCCAGTAAAATCATCTGTTATACCAGTCAGCTGTTAAAATACTTTATTGGGTATTAAAAAAGAACAGCTGTCGCCTACAGGGTTTACATCAAATGTGTTAAAAAAACTCTTAATTTAAATGTTATCTTTGGAAGTGAAAAGAAGTGCAATAAATGTACTCAAGGTATGATTTCAACATCAGGAGAAGAAGTATTCTTGAAAAAAAATAATATCGAGGTTCATTAATGAGACTTTACCAGTTAAATCAGCTGTTTCACAAGTTAGCACTTAAAATACGTTTTTGTGAATTGGGAAACAAACAGCTGTCGGCAGGAAAATTTACATAAAACATGTTTAAATAAAACTCTTCATTTAAATGTTATCATTGGAAGTGAAAATAAGTGTGATTTCAAGGTATGCTTTCAATATCATAAGAGAAAGTATTTCTTAGTAAAAATGTTGACCAAAAAATTATATAAATGATGACTTGGAATCTTTATAAGATCGTCCCGTGGAAACCAGCTGCTGCATATCAGCTGTTTCTCAATTTTGCTGTCCAAATCCATGACTTGCATTATCGAAACGTAAACAAAGTCTATTGTTTTTACATTTCGCTTGCAGGGTGACCATATTAATAGATCTTGGGTCACCCAGTAAAAACATATGTTTCTCAAGTTTGCTGTCAAAATGCATTATTGTGAATTGACTTGACATTATGAAAATGTTCCAATTTTTTTTTTAATTTCAAAAAAACGGATGTTTTTCAATTCCTGCGTGACCTGATAGGTGTATAAGAACCTTTATCAATATGTAGGGTAATAAAGGTGCGAATTTAGTCCCAAAAATTCAAAATATTGAATTAAAATATTAAATATTATTAAAATAATTAATTAATAACAAAAAAATATTTTTTTTTTTCAATTTCCTTCAACATTAAAATCTCATGCCAAAATAATTATTTTAATTGTTTACTCTTAATTTCTTTTAATATAAACAAATTTATTTAAAAAATTCGATAAATTTATTTTTGTAATATATGATTTTATCTGGTTAAATTTTTCTCGGTAAAGAGTTTATTAGGTTCCAATTCAATTCAAATCGCATTTCTATTTTTAGTAAAATTTCAAGGTTTATTTTCTCATCATCATCGCCACACAATTCAAGTTCAAGTTTGTTGATTTTAGTAATTTAATCGAAATATTTATTTTTTTCTTATGATGAATCTATTGTTATTCTTTTTTTGTTGGGGTTAACATAAATTATCGTTTGTTGATGATATTTTCCCTCATGCATATCTTTTCCATTATTTTTTAAATCTAAATATGCGGTATTTTCTATTGTGAATGTGTTTTGTCTGTCATTGGAGTAATTGTTGTTGTTGTCCTACCTCTCACCCATTATCTGAGGTTGAACTGTAAACAAAATTTTAATTGATAAAGCTTTTTTAACGAATATCATTTCATTCTCTTTCTCTCTCCCTCTCCAACTTTTTTTAAGTGACGACATAAATTATTCACTAATTTATGTGTGTGTTTGTATGTTTGAGTTTTATTTGTTTTTGGGGGGAGGGAGTTTAAAAGAAAGCGAAAATAGAAAATATTTCAAAAATGTTGTTGTATGGCTTAAAAACATATTTATAACTATTTTTTTTTGTTAAACCACACGTTTGTCGATAGCGATTGATCGTTCCGTTCCGATAATTTATCATTGTCGTACGTACCTACGTACTCCTTTAAGTACTAACACATGATAATATTTGTATTAGTTTAGGAAAAATATATGTAGAAAATAATATAAAATCAACTACTGAGATTATTTTTGATCTTCCCCTTACCTCTCGCTCTCAGCCTTTCGCTCAGTAGTTTGTGATATGTCATTTATATACGTCAAGTCTTGTCGTTGAATTAGTGGCCGTCGCAAAAAAAAAACAACACAGCAAGCACACCATTGTAATTCATATGTTATCGGTTAGATCATTGTTATCATCGTTATTATTGTATTAGAGAGGGTTGGGAGGGGGATGTAGGAGAAGATGTTTTTTTGCTATTCGTCTTTTCTACCTCTTTAGCAAAACGCGACAGGGATTCCTCTGTTTATTCTGCTCCCCCTCTCTCTCTCTTCCTCTTTACTACTACTGAAAACTACTGTTGTTTTGTTGTTGTTCTTGTTATTATTATATGATGATTATGAGTTGTGTTGTGTCATGTCTGGCTTTGTGTTGCTGTTGTTATTTCTATTATCTCTTGTTGTAATAATATGAATAAATGTGTAAATATTGTATAAAGAAAGAAAACAGCAACAACAACAAGAACAAATGTACCTGACAGCGGACTATTTGCTTTTGACATAGCGCCAATCTCCTCTACCCCACATACACACACACTGTCATGCATACAAACATATGGCCTGCCTGCCTCCCAACAACACCACCCCCCATATAGCGGGAAAAGTCTTTCTCTGATCTCTCTCGCTCTACAACTCCCCTACATAAAAAAACATGATTTCTCTCTCCTTAACAAATTGGCGGGGGTAGAGAGTGAGTGTGTTCAGTGAGAGTGCGAGTTTATGAATACTTGATAAATTGACATTTCTTTAACTATCTCTTTGTGGTGGCATGCCTGCGTCTGTCTACTAACCATTTGCAGAAGAAGAAGCAGAATAAAATAAGCAACCTTAGTAGACACATTAGAAATTTTAGAAATTGTTTTTTTACATTTAAAATAAATACAAAACAAACAGAAAAAGAATCATTAACACCAATGACAATACGGCTGTTAAAATACCAAAACCTTAAAAGCTACAAACCAAATTTGTTTACAAAAACAACAACAACATCACTCAATACAATAACGTTAAGTTCGACGGCCGCCGCCTGCCAAGCAAAGCCAAACGACGACAATAATACAACAAGTGGAGAAATGTGCCAATGTGCTGTGGACAAGAAGGTGACAAAGACAACAACAACATCAGCAACAACACTACTATTCAGCTTTGCCTAGAACGTAGAAGAATTCATGTTTAATATGGGACAAACCATTAGCAGCAACAACAACCATCACCACCACCACAACAACAATCACAGTAGCCATGATGACAGTAATTCATCGGTAATTTACAGAGAACGTCAAAATGCTGCCACAACACTACCAAATAATACGGCCGCCACCACCGCCACGGCCACCGAAAAATTGGGCCGTAGGGCGGCTGGGTTGGATTTGGCCCGTGTACGACCGGTAACGATTAGTGCACCACCCATTAATTTTAATGCCGAAAAGGAATTAAAAAAATTGGAAATTGTCACCAATAAAACCTCCGAACAACAAAACAGCTCAGCTTTGGAAAATGGCTATCACAAGACGGATTATTGTTATTATCGTACGCCTCAGGGCAATTTCCATAAATTACCCACAGATTCGTATCACAAAATGTCTGAAGGCTGTTACATACGTTTGGCGGATGGCAATTTTCGGCGTTTACATTTACTCGATAAATCTGCCGCTGGAGGCAAAAAACTTCTTGACCCCGCCACACTCGCCCTTACAAGCAATGCTTCCCAACGTAATTCAATGATAATCCGCAGTAATAGTGGTAGTACAAATAACAACAATAATGTTGGTGGTACTACAACGACGGCTGCCGCCGGTTCGGCTGCTGCTGGTGATAAATCTTCCTCAACAAAAGTTAAATCGCAAATGATGAAATTTTTAAAACGTTCCAAATCCCATACCCCAGCCACTGTGAAACAATTACAAAGCTATCACAAAGAGGGCAGCTATATAGATCGCAAACTAAATAATAAATTGGGTCATGAGGCTCTAAATGCCCTGACACCGGTCAAGGAGGGTGGTGGCGGTTCCATTGTGCCACCCCCGCTTACCAGCACCAACAATAAAGTTGTGGTAACAATGATGGAAAATGGCGGTTTACCCATTGTGGCCACCAGTAAAGCGGAAAAATTCAAAAATCGTGAATCTGCAGCAAATGCAAAAGCGAAAAAGGTAAACGGGCAAGAGGAGATAATGAAATACCCATGTCTTATAGTGGCTGGAAGTTTGTCTATTTCATTTTGTTTGTATTTATGTTTTTTCCTTTTTAATTCCCCTTTTAATTATTTAATTTGTTGTGTATTTTTTCCAGGGATCTCCCAATATGGCTATACGCAGCAGTGCGCCCATGCGTTGGCGTGCTACTGAGGAGCATATTGGCAAATACAAATTAATTAAGACAATTGGCAAGGGTAATTTTGCTAAAGTGAAATTGGCCAAACATTTGCCCACCGGCAAGGAGGTGGCTATTAAAATAATTGACAAAACCCAGTTGAATCCTGGTTCGCTGCAAAAATTGTTTAGAGAGGTAAGTTAACAACAATAACACACAATATGCATTGCATATACATAAATCGAAATTAATATATTGCAATATTATATTCAATAGGTTCTCAGGCAGCCCCTGGAAATAGAAACCTAACCTCAATTTAAAACCTATATCCCAGAGAGTTATATTTTTCAAGCAATTTACTTAATATTTTGTAACTGGCATTCCCTTTAAATCATCTAATACCAAACACGAAATTGAAAAGATAAATCCAAGATAATTGAATACCAAAACTTTCCACAAAAAAATTAATAAGATAGGTCCATGTTTTGATATTGCTGCCACACAAACCTAACCTCATTTTTTTCAAATTTCATGATTTCAAAGAAAAAATTAATTATATTTTATTCGGAGTTGCTAAAAATTTGCAAATTAAAATTTTTAAGTGAAAAATATAATCATATTTTATAATTTTTTTTATATCTCTAAACCAAACATAACCTCAATTTAAAAAAAAGATCCCTGGTATCCACATTTCTTAAGGAATTTAATTCATACTTGGCAGCTTGATGCCTTACCCTCACACAAACCTAACCTCAAAATGAACATATTTTAAGGTTTTTACAAAATTTTAAATTGAGTTTTATTTGAAATTGTTATAAATACCAATTTCTTTATTTTTAAGTGCAACATTTTTCATCCAACAAACCTAACCTCAAATTTGTCAAAATTCGAACTGGAAACTAAATTTTTGAAGCCATTAAACTATAAATTGGCAGCTTGACAACTTATCGGATAATGCAACTAGAATTGGATAATACAACTGTAAAAACTAGAATTGTAGCTTATTGTTTTCATTTAGCTCCCCCTACAAACATAACCTCAATATTTGCAAAATTCAATCTGGAAACTATACTTTTCAAGCAATTGCATTGATATTTGGTATTTTGAGACTTCATTAATTAATACAACTTTCTGTCAAAACTTTGGATTATAGTTCATTGCGTTCATATAGCCCTCACACAAACCTAACCTCAAATTTAACAAGATATATGCTAGGAACCTTGTTTTTCAAGCGATCTAATTGATATTTGGCATTATGATTTGGTATTAAATAATACAACTTTCCACCAAAAAATAGAATTTTAGACCGTGTTTTTCATACAGCTCCCCCATAAACCTAACCTCAAAATTTATAGAAAATCAATTTTCAATCCAAAATTGTTATTGAAATTTGTTTGTAATTGATATTAACTGGTATATATAAGTCTTTAATTGCAAAATAATTCATATTTTATTATTTCGTTCGGACAAACATAACCTCAAATTTTTCAAAATTTGTGCCAGGAACCTTATTTTTCAAACGATCTATTTGATATTTGGCAATGTGATTTTGTATTAAATTATACAACTTTCCACCAAAAATTGGAATTTTTCCCAAAGCTCCCCCACAAATCTATTCTCAAAAACTTTCAATTTTGATTTTTTTTTTAATATATTTTATGAAAAAATATAATTATTTTTATAACCCTATTTCCTTAAACTTAAATTTGGGACATAACCTCAAAATCTCAACTTAATTTGAAATATAAAATTTTTATAAAATTTTATTATTTCGTTCGGACAAACATAACCTCAAATTTTTCAAAATTTGTGCCAGGAACGTTATTTTTCAAGCGATCTATTTGATATTTGGCAATATGATTTTGTATTAAATTATACAATTTTCCACCAAAAATTGGAATTTTAGATCATTGTTTTCCCAAAGCTCCCCCACAAATCTATTCTCAAAAATTTTCAATTTTGATTTTTTTTTTTTAAATATATTTTATGAAAAAATATAATTATTTTTATAACCCTATTTCCTTAAACTTAAATTTGGGACATAACCTCAAAATCTCAACTTATTTGAAATATGATTTCTTTATAATTTGAAACAAAAAATATATATTTGCATAGTTTGGAGTATATGGGAAGCTATTTTGCTAAATTGTTTATTGTTTCCTTTGATTTATTGAAAAAAAAAAAAAAAAAATTATCAAATTCTGTGATTATTATTCAAATGAGCCAATACGCTGATATTTGTTTATAATGATGTTCCCATCCCCATATGATGATGACTCATTCCCTTTCAATTCATTCATAAGAAATTATTTAAAATTTCTTATGAATCGAATTGATAAAAAAATGTTTAAATGAAACCCAATATTATTTTTTGTTTATTGGGATTTGTTTTTTTTATTTTATATTATTTTTTTTTCATAATTTACAGGTTAGAATAATGAAAATGCTCGATCATCCCAATATTGTGAAACTGTTTCAAGTTATTGAAACAGAAAAGACGTTGTATTTGGTTATGGAATATGCGTCGGGTGGAGAAGTTTTCGATTATTTGGTGTTACACGGCCGCATGAAGGAAAAAGAGGCAAGGGTTAAATTCCGTCAAATTGTTTCAGCTGTGCAATATTGTCACCAAAAGCGTATAATACATAGGTATGTGTGTCAATATATATGTTTGAAAACATGTGTGTGTGTGTTGGATGTGTGTAAAACCCCACTCTCTCAAGAAAGACATGATTAATTATAATTCTTTGTGACTCATAGTCAAAACTTGTCATGTCTTTTGTGTGTGTGTGTGTGTTTTGTTTTGTTTTCGTTTTTTATTTTTTAATTCTGAATGATCTTGTTGTTCTTCTTGCAGAGATTTAAAAGCCGAAAATCTATTATTAGATAGTGAGTTAAACATAAAAATAGCCGATTTTGGTTTTTCCAATGAATTTACACCCGGCTCCAAATTGGATACATTCTGTGGCAGTCCACCCTATGCCGCTCCCGAACTATTCCAAGGCAAAAAATATGATGGTCCCGAGGTAGATGTTTGGTCATTAGGTGTTATACTCTATACACTTGTCAGTGGGTCATTACCATTTGATGGCTCAACATTACGAGAATTGAGGGAACGTGTGCTCAGAGGCAAATATAGGTAAAGAAAAAAATGAAAAATTAAAAAAAAAAAAAAATAAATTTATTAATTTTCTTTTTGTTCTTTAGGATTCCATTCTACATGTCTACTGACTGTGAAAATCTATTGCGTAAATTTCTAGTATTGAATCCGGCTAAACGTGCTAGTCTCGAAACCATCATGAGCGACAAATGGATGAATATGGGGTTTGAAGATGACGAACTAAAGCCATACGTTGAACCCAAACAAGAATTGGGCGATGTCAAACGGATAGGTAAGACGGGTACTGTATACAATGCCATTACAATTAACATTCTTCTTCATTCTATTTGATCGTTGTTGTATATATATCCTATATACTATATTGTTATATATCAAGAAAATCCCAAAATGAAAATCAAAAAACCAGCCGCCGCTGTTTGCAAATGAAAAAAATCAAAATACTTTAAAAAATAATAATACATTGTTAGTATTTTGATAACACGCCCCCACCAACACCACCACAAAGAAATACACCCCCTCCGACACAACTACTAACACACAGCCCATTAACAAGAAAATACTTTTTCTAGTAACGAAAAGGGAACACAAACCTAACCTCAAAATTTATAGAAAATCGATTTTAAAATGAAAATTGTTATTGAAATTTGTTTGTTATTGCTATTAAGTGGAATATATGAATTTAAAATTGCATAATAGTAAATATTTTATAAGAATTTATTATTTCGTTCAAACAAACATAACCTCAAATTTATGAAAATTGATGCCAGGAACCTTGTTTTTCAAGCGATATAATTGATATTTTGTAATATGATTTTGTATTAAAATAATACATCATACCACCAAAAATTAGAATTTTAGATCATGGTTTTCCCAAAGCTCCCCCACAAACCTAACCCCAAAATTTATAGAAAATCAAATTTCAAATGGAAATTGTTATTGAAATTTGTTTGTTATTGATATTAATTGCATATGTGAATCTTTAATTGCAAAATGCTTCATATTTTATAAAATTTTATTATTTCGTTCAAACAAACATAACCTCAAATTCAACAAAAATTGTCCCAGGGACCACATTTATAAAGCGATTTAATCACTATTTGGCAATATAATTTTTTGTTAAATAATACAACTTTCTACCAACTCCCCCACAAACCTAACCTCAAATTCATAAAAAATGTTCCCTGTAACCAAATTTATCAAGCGATTTTTTTAATATTTGGCAATATGATTTTGTATTAAAAAATACATCTTTTTACAAAAATTGGAATTTTAGATTTTTGTTTTCCTAACGCTCCCCTTCAAACCTAACCTCAAAATTTATAAAAATCCATTTTCAAATGAAAATTTTTATTGAAATTTGTTTGTAAATTGCAAAATAGTTCATATTTTATAAAAAAAACATAACCTAAAATTTATTAATTTGAAACATCCAAGGTACTTCTAGTGCCTACCAAAGACCCAAAGAGAGATTTTGAGGTTAAAATGTTTATTTTTGTGGTTATCTGTTTGCCATTTTGTCATTGCTTACAACAAAATAGTAAAAATTTTAATGTTATCCGTAACATAATCTGTCAAGGCCCTGCTATAAAAGGCTTTAAAGGGCACCCTCCTCCTCATTATTATTAAATTTTTTTATTGTCTAGACATGAAAACACCCAAGGCCAAATTGATAATGGCTGTGTTGGAATTTTCGTTATTAGAAAAAAGATATTCTCCACATCTCACCACCCACTCATTTCATTTCTTAACAAAGAACAGCAACTGCACTTTAGCAACTAACCACCAAGCAAGCCCAAATCTAGAGAAAGACAAAAGCAAGAAATGGAAAATAATTTTATTAAATTACACTTGTATCATCAAACGCCCGTCCCTACCCATCCATCCATCCAAACATTCATCACATCATCCTTACTTGACACTAAGATAGCCTTTGCCAGCCAGCCAACCAACCAGCAACTCATCTAAACACAAAAGTATCCATTCTACCACTTTCTATCCCCCACAACCAAGCAACTGTCACTTAATCCATCCATCCACATATCCATCCATCCAACCACCCACCGACCCACTCAAACAAAACAGCAGGGGTATTTTTTCTTGTCGTTTATTTTTTATTTTTTATATATATTCTCTTATCAAATGTTGTATGATGTAGCCGCTCTCTCTCACCACCTTTGGATATACATATATTTGTTGTTGTTTTAACTACTTTTTAAACTTCCCAGAAAGGAAGATGTATCTTCGTCTTTTTTATACTTTTCTTGTGTTGTCTCTTATTATTATTGTGTATTATATATGTAAATTTTTGTAATATTTCTTATTATATATACATTTGTATGTAATAATAATTTTTTATTTTATTTTATAATTTTTTCGAAAATTGTTATAGCGCAATTATCTCACTTAGCTGACCAACCAAAAAAACTACACACTGTGATCACCTTTTTTCACAACCACAAATTCAAAAAAAAAAATCTATTGCAAATATTAAGTGTTTCCACCAACCCAACTTCTTCTTTTCCCAATCCAATCTAACCAACAACAACATTATGTATATTGTTGTTGTTGTTTTTTTGTCTGTAAAATTCCATTACAAAAGTATGTTGTTGTGTCTCGTCTGTCTGTATATACGTAGTGTAGAAGCCCTTTCTTTTTCCCATTTCCATACATACATTCTTTATTCTTCTTCTCTTCAATATTTTCTTATTATTAGCCATTATTTTTGACCCCCGCCCCCTCTCTCACCCTCTCAAAAACACATACAATGACATTAGCCAGGAAATTCCATTGGATTCTCATGGAAGAGCAATTATCTATCGAACAACAACAAGACTAGTAGATAAGAGTAGATTGTAAAATAAAATAAAAAAAATAAATTCCTCAGGACCCCTGAGATGTTTTTTCTATAGAAAAAAAAAATCCTCAGGTCACCTGAGGTGATTTTTTTCTATAGAAAAAAATTCCTCAGGTCGCGAAGTAGTGTTTTTTCCATAGAAAAAATTCCTCTGGACTCCTGAGGAGTTTTTCTCTATAGAAAAAAAATTCCCAGGACCCCTGAGGTAGGTTTTTCTATAGAAACAAATTCCTCAGGACCCCTGAAGTGGTTTTTTCTATAGAAAAAAAAATCCTCAGGTTCCCTGAGGTGTTTTTTCCTACAGAAAAAAAATCCTCAGGTCCCTGAGATGTTTTTTTCCATAAAAAAATTCCTCAGGTCTCCTGAGGTGTTTTTTTCTATATAAAAAATTTCCTCAGGCCAACCTGAGGTGTTTTTTTTATAGAAAAAAAAATTCCTCAGGCCCAACTGAGGTGTTTTTTTTCTATAGAAAAAAATTCCTCAGGCCCACTTGAGGTGTTTTTTTCTATAGAAAAAAAAATTCTTCAGGACCATGAGGTGTTTTTTCAATAGAAAAAAAATTCCTCAGGCCCAACTGAGGTGTTTTTTTCTATAGAAAAAAAACACCTCAGTTGCCCTGAGGAATTTTTTTCTATAGAAAAAAACACCTCAGTTGCCCTGAGGAATTTTTTTCTATAGAAAAAAACACCTCAGTTGCCCTGAGGAATTTTTTTCTATAGAAAAAAACACATCAGTTGCCCTGAGGAATTTTTTTCTTTTTTTTTCACTGGAAAAAAATTCTCAGGTCTCCTGAGGTGTTTTTTCCAAAAAAAAAAATCCTCACGCATTATGGACTTTATTCTTTAATCCTACTTATCGGCCCTCTTTTTCTATCCCCCTCCCCCTTTCACTAATGCCCACAATGAAACACTATGCCGCCGCCTTCAAGCTTCTCGTTTTTTTTCTACTTCAAATACGCATTTTTCTCTAAAGAAGAGAGTATTTTTGGAAACTCGAATTTATTTTTGGGTCTTAGATAATTCATAATTCATCACCATATAATTTTTTTGGAATATAAGGCATTATTAAATAAATAAATAATTATAATAAAAATAAATAAAAGGTGTGAAAAAAGTGTGAATTTAATTTGCATTTTGAGAAAAAAAATATTTTTTGTAATAATGAGATAATCGTTTTAACAAATAAATATCTGTCGCTATCTTCGTTTTTTTTTTTGGAATGTGTTAAAAATTTTAAATGAAATTGCTAATGGTTTTTAATTTTCTATTTCCTTCTGCCATGTTTGATGCGGCTGATGATGGATGATGTTGTTGTTGGCGCCATCTGTTGGATAATCACAAAAAAAAATTACCTCCCCCCTACCTTACAAAATATATAGAAGCTCTTGTGGCAATGGGCTATAATAGACAGGAAATCGAGGCATCATTGTCTCAAGTACGTTATGATGATGTGTTCGCAACATATTTATTGCTGGGAAGAAAAAGTACTGATGTAAGTACCGATTTTCCTAATCATTACATTTTGTTCTGTGGTCATAACGTCATGTTTTTCATTCTCTCTCTCTCCCATTCTCTCTTTCTTCCCATACAACAAACCAACCAACAAAAAAACGTACATCCTTATAGCCTGAAAGTGATGGCTCTCGTTCGGGTTCGTCGCTTTCATTGCGCAATATATCGGGTAATGATGGAACTGCAATTTCGGCAAATACTTCGGTACAAAGCCCAACACACCGTGGTGTCCACAGAAGTATTTCGGCTTCTAGTACAAAACCAAGTAGAAGGGCATCCTCTGGGGCTGATACTTTACGTATGTGTTGTTATTTTTTTTTTATTATTTTTTTTGTTTTGAAATACTAACTCCGTTTCTGTGTCGAAACAAACAGAAAAAATTGAATTGAATTATACTAATCGTTGTTATTGTTTTTTAATTTTAAACAGGTGTTGCTCCCGGTGGCAATGCTGCGGCTCAAGTTGTTACTACAGGAACAGCTGGTACCGTTCCGACCAGCACTAATTATGCCATTGCTGGCACTGGATCAACAGCGGAAAGATCTTCAATGTAAGTATTATGGCGATAGAAGACCTCAAGGTTCCTCAAAAGGACAGCTCTAGAAGACCTCAAGGAATTTTTTTCTATGGAAAAAACACCTAAGGTCCCTCAGGGGACCTTAGGAATTTTTTTTTTTATGGAAAAAAACACCTCAGGGGACCTGAGGAATTTTATCTCTATAGAAAAAAACACCTCAGGGGGCCTGAGAAATTTTTTTCTATGGAAAAGACGCCTCAGGTGACCTAAGGAATTTGTTTCTATGGAAAAAAACACCTCAGGGCGAGCTGAGGATTTTGTTTTTCTATGGAAAAAAACACCTCAGGAGACCTGAGAAATTTTTTTCCTGTGGAAAAAACACCTCAGGGCGAGCTGAGGAATTCTTTTTCTAGGGGACCTTAGGATTTTTTTTCTTGGGAAAAAAACACCTCAGGGGACCTTTGGATTTTTTTTCTATAGAAAAAAACACCTCAGGGGGCCTGAGGAATTTTTTGCTATAAAAAAGACGCCTCAGGTGACCTAAGGAATTTTTTTCTATGGAAAAAAACACCTCAGGGCGAGCTGAGGATTTTGTTTTTCTATGCGAAAAAAACACCTCAGGGGACCAGACGAATTTTTTCTATGCGAAAAAAACACCTCAGGGCGAGCTGAGGATTTTTTCTATGGAAAAAACCTCAGGGCGATCTAAGAAATATTATTTTTATAGAAAAAACACCTCAGGGGACCTTAGTGATTTTTTTCTATGGAAAAAAACCTCAGGGCGAGCTGAGGAATTTTTTTCTATGAACATTTTTTTTATTAATTTAATTTTTATTAATTTTTCTTTTATTTCCCATTTTCTTTCTTTGCAGTAGTAGCAACTTTAAGCGTCAAAATACCATAGATTCAGCTACCATAAAAGAGAATACAGCACGTCTATCGGCTCAAAATCAAAGGCCGGCCTCAGCCACTCATAAATTATTGACGACACAGGATACATGTAAGTAGCGAATACCACCCTCCACCCTTGAAATCCAATTTAATATTTATTCACATGTTCTCTCCAAAAACAGCCATTAGTAGTCCGAAACCACGTTATACGCCTAAATATGATCCCACAAATAGTAGTAATCGTCCAGCGGCTACGGTTAGCATGATGCCAAGACGTTCTACCACTTTATATGAGAAGACTTCTTCAACTGAGAAAACCAATGCTATTTCAACAGACTCAAAGTATGTATACGCAAATATGACACTCTCTCTCGATCTCTTTATTTCTCTTTCGCCAATTTCCTTTTTTCGATTTTCGATTTTATTTTAAAAATTATTTTGTTTTAAACGTTTTCCTTCCAACTTGTTTTTGTTTGTTTAAAAAAATTACTTTCTTTTGTTTTCGTCATGTTTTGTTTTGTCCAATTTTCCGTCTTTTTTTCTTTTCTTTGTCTTGCTATAAAAACTTTTTTATACAAGAAATCACCAATTTTTAATTATTATTATTTCACCACTATTTGATTTATTTTTATTTAAATAATTGCTACTAAAAAAAAAGAAACTTTTAACAACACCCCTAACCACCACCACTAAGTCATTGACATTTTAGTGAGCTAATTTTTTTAAATTAATTAATAAATTTCATTACTAATATTTCAACGCCTTACATAACATAATCAAAAAAAAAAAAAAAATCAAACACGAGCTTTTTGTGTTCTGAAAACAAATGAACCAAAAAAATTAAAGCCACCAAAACACTACTGCTAAAAATACTACTTCTAATATCAAACAAGAATTTAATTCCTTAATTTTTTTATTTAATTTTTTAATTCATTTTTAAAATTTTTTTAAAAAAAAATATATGGTTTCAAGGGCTTTTTCTTATAAACAATTGCATATTGCTATTAGCTACACAACCACAATTTTTTGAAACATTTTATAATTCTTAAATGTCTGGGTGTCTGTCCGTACACAAATATAACCTAAAAATTACCTTAATTACTTAGCTTTCGTTCCATAAGCCGAGCTTAATAAATATTTCCAAGCGCGTCGGTCTTGTGCGCATCTCCTCCAATTTGAAAGACCATTTTCGGCGATGTTGCCCTCTATTTGATCTTTCCATCAGATTCGTGGCCTTCTCCTTCTCACTTGGTTTGCTATTATATGCCTTCTGGGCTGGGGCATCTTCATCCATTCTCACAACATGGCCTAGCCAACATCGTAGTCGGTGCAGCTCAATACGTCCAACAATGTCGATGTCCGAGAATAGCTGGTACAACTCATAGTTCATTCAACGCCGATATTCACCGTCAACGCAGATCGGCCCATAGATCTTTCGGAGAATTTTTCTCTCAAACACTGCCTCATCTGCTTGCGGAGTAGGCCTCAGCTACCTGTTGTGTTTGCTGCTTTTCGACGTCAAATTTCCGTGTTACATTAGATCGCACCTTTGCTGCTACATTAAGACGGGTGCGTACCTTGGCTGCCACAAGGTAATGGTCCGAATCGATATTCGCTCCTCGGATCGATCGGACGTCTAAAACACTGCATGAATGCGTTCCGTCTATCACAACAAGATCGATTTGTTTTCTCGTTGTTCTTTGCTTTTTCATAGTAGGTTCGGTGTGGGCAACTAACCCGACTCCTCAACTCATTTGTTATAGTCCTTATGGGTACTCGAATAAAAATGACAATTTATGATTCGGCATGTAATTATTTAAAAAGTTATTATATTTTTAGGTTATGTTGAAAAAATCTAGATTTTTAGTTGTTTTTAAATTTAAAAAAAAAAGAATTATTTTTTTGTGTTTTAAAAAAAGTGTGGTGTAGCTTTTTGAAAAAAAATATAGTAGGTATATATCGACTTATTGGCTTTCTTCTCACATGATTTTTTATATATTTTTTTATAATTTTTCCTTTATATTTTGACAACACATATATATCCAACCACTGCAATCACACCCCCACCCAATCTTACACACTATGAATTATATAAAAAAATCCAAAAGCACTAATTATATTTTTGATGTTTCATTTTTTTTATTTTTTATATATCTATATCATAACAAAAAACAAAAACAATCTCTGTATTGTTGTCGTTGTTGTAAAAAACAATTTTTTTGCAAACTCAAATTAAAAAAAAAAAATATCAAAAAAATCTACAACAAAAAAATGGTACCTCTACTACTACTACAATCTAAAAAAAAAATACCATAATCTCCTTCTTCACCACAACCACCACCAACCACCACTACTACTACTCTACATGTATTAAAAAACTATGCCATGGGTGAGTATAATAATTTAAGTAAAATAAAATCTGCAATATTGAGAATATAAAAAAAAAGAAAAAACAAATACTTTTCATTTCTACTTCTGTTTTGGAATTAATTTTCTTTGAAACAAAACGATATTTTGAAATTTTTTACCAATATAATGCTTTTTTCTTAGGATTAGGATTATTAAAAATAATCATAGGGGAGCTAGCTTTTTGAAACTTAAGCCTAAGATATCTCCCTCTCTGTCTTCTCCCTTAACGCTCTCTTCCCGCCCTCTCTCTCTCTCTACTGCTATATATTGTATTTTTCGCTATTCAAATGTGCCTCCCCCACCCTACCTTTTAAGTATAGTGAAAAATAATTAGGCCAGTAGGAATCTTCTACTTAAAGGCTAAGAGGATTATATTCTTGGATTTCTTAAAGCATACTTTTAGGCTACCGTTGTGTAGGTTATTTGCTAGGTTGCCAAAAGAACAACAATAAAAAGGAGTGTTTTGGTGATGATCACAAGGAACTATCATTATTATCACATTATCATCACCACTACCACCACCACCGCCGTCGCCTTGACAGTAGTTAATTTATTTTGCAAAACATCTCAATTGTAATTATTGTTGTATTTGTCGTTTTATTGTGTAAAATTTTGTATGGCTTTCGAAACTCTTAATATTAAATTAAATCATTTTTTTTCTATTCATATAAAACTCTATTTCAATACACCCAGTTTTAATGAGGACAGTTTTAATCTCCATTTTTAATATCAAAAATTAATTGAGGTTATGTGGAAAAAGTCTGGATTTAGAAACTGAATTTGAACTATTATTGTAGACGAAATCAGAAAATTTTGCTTCAAATATTATATTATTATATATAAATAATTCATATAATTTCACGCTTTATTGAGAAAATAAAAAAAATTGAATTTTTTTGAGGTTATGTTGAAAAATTTTGAATATATCGTACATTTTAGTTATTCGAGGACAAAATTTAGCTATTTCTGTATATGAAATTTGAAATATGTTTTTTTTTTTTTTAAATGTAAAGTCAATTATTGGTTTTAATTCCAAAAACGAGTTTTTGAGGTTATGTTGAAAAACTGGGGATAGACACTGAATAGGAACTATTATGGTAGTCGAATCCAAAAAAAAAGCTTCAAATATTATAAATAATTCATTTACTCTGACTACTTATTGAAAAATTTATGAAAATTATTTTTTTTTTGAGGTTATGTTGAAAATTTTTTTGAATATATCGTACATTTTAGTTATTCGAGGACAAAAATTAGCAATTTCTATAGTTGTAATATGAAATATGTTCTTTTTTTTTGAAATGCAAAGTCAATTATTGGTGCTAATTCCAAAAACGATTTTTTAAGGTTATGTTGAAAAACTAACGTATTATTAAACAGGACGCATTTATGTTCCGATTTGGATGAAATTTGGCAAAGCTCATTTATTTGGCCCAAGGACGAATCCTGTTGAAATTGGGGAAAATCGGTTCAGATTTAGATATAGCTCCCATATAGAGTTTCGTCCGATTTAAGGTAAATGGTGCACCAACGAGTCAAATTTAGGCCGATTGACACGTAATTTTGCACAAAGTACTGAAGTTAGGACAGCCCAAGTTGTGCCAAGTTTTATTGAAATCAGTTGAAATTTAGATATAGCTCCCATATATATCTTCGTCCGATTTTTAGAAAATTGTGCACCAAAGATTAAAATTTTGGCCGATTGGCATGCAGTTTTGCACAACGTACTGTTTTTAGGACAACCCAACAGGTGCCAAGCTTTATTGAAATCGTTACAGATTTTGATATAGCTCCCATATATATTTTGTCCGATTTTTAATAAATGGTGCACCTAAGTGTCAAATTTAGGCCGATTGACACTAAATTTTGCACAGCGTACTGTTGTTAGGACAACCCAACGTGTGCCAAGCTTTATTGAAATCGTTTCCCATATATATTTTATCCGATTTTTTGCAAATTGTGCACCAAAGTGCACCAATGTCCCTATATATCTTTCGGTTTGCACGAAATTTGGCACAGCACACCTAATTGAATCTACAATGATGTGTGCTAAGTTTCGTGAATATCGGTAAAGATTTAGATATAGCTCCCATATATATTTTCGACCAATTTAATATAAATAATGCACCAAAGCCCTTATATATTTTCCGATTTTCGCGAAATTCGGCATAACGTACGGAATTAAGTCTAGATTGATGTGTGTTAAGTTTTGGAAAAATCTAAAGATATGTCTGTTCTATCTACATGATATAGTATATATATTAGCGCATCTTGTATGTACCCATAGTGGTGAAGGGTATTATATAGTCGGTCTCGTCCGATTTTTGAACTTTCCTTACTGGTTTTAAGAGAACTCTTTAGGCTGTTTTAAATATCCTAATTATATTTTTTTGTTTATTTTTAAACATATAAAAATAATTGAGGTTATGTTGAGAGTGTTTTTCAAAAGGCCATCAAATTTTACACAAATATAACTGATACCTGTATTTTATATAATTCGCTGCTGAGAAAAATAATTATATCTTTATATTTTTTCCATTTTTTAGTTATTATTTTTGTTTTTAATTGTTTTTTTTTTTTTTTAATAAAATTTCACTACACAAAATTTTTTTATTTTTTGTTGCCATTATTAGTTTTATAGTTTTTTAATATAAATTAGTTCATGTTATTTGTTTCTATTTTTTGTTTTTATTTTATAATTTAAAAATGCAAATATTTATCCCCACCCTACACCACCTATCACCAATATTTTGTCTTATATATATTTGTAGTCCAGTCTTCTCCACGTTTTTCATGTGGTAGTCTCTCATATAGCTATCTCTCACTATCTTTGTCTAATTGTTTATATATCTTGTTCTTTAAGTATCTAAGTAGTTTAATTGTTATTTAAAAAAAATAAATTAAAATTACCCCCATTTTCACTTTCTTTAAGTTTTTATCTCGCTTTTCCAACCTCTATTTCTCCCTCTCTCTGTTTATATAAATATGTTTAATGTTTTTTCATTATTATTATTATTATCATTATTATATACCTAAAAAAATTATCTATAAAAATATATATTTTTTTGAAAATTGAATTTAATTTATTAACCATTTTTTTTTTAATTTTTTTTTATTTTTTATTCTTTTTTTCTCTACTTTGGAAAACAATTTTCTTTTTGCATGATGACACCACCAACCAACCAATCAACCACCACAACCAATCAATCAACCACCAATCAAATCAATCAAACTTCAAAACATGCGTTATCTCAAAAAATATCCATCATCCAAAATCAAAATGAAATTCAAAATCGTTACGATCACAATCAAACGAAAAAACAAAACAAACTGCTTGGTCTTTCGCCGCTCGCCCGCATGCTCAACTACTACTAATTTTTGTTAATCAAATTAATTTAAAAAAATCAATTTTTAAAAATGATTTGTAACTACCACCAACAACAACTACTACTTATTGTATATTCCCATGTGATGAACATAAACAAAAAAACATAAAATCTATGTGTGTGTGTGTGTCTGCAACAAAAATGTCACTGCCATAAAACTGCTCTGCCTGAAATGCCTGCCAAAACCCGCCCGTCCGCTCGCTCGCCTCCTGAATGTATGAACAACAATAACAATTATATGATTGCCTGCCTGTCCAAAAAAAATCCTATCACCATTCCGACGACGATGACGACACAACAACAACGGTGACGACATAATACAAAAAAATGAAAAAATCTACTGTATTTTATTTTGCAATGTAAACGCCACAGTGTTTTCAACGATCTTAGAGTGACATCGGCTGTTAAATCTGGCAGACATTTTCCCAGGAATGTACCATCACGTTCAACCTTTCATTCGGGTGAGTTTTGCTTCCTTTTTAGATTCTCAACAAACATCTACAACCAAATCAAACCAAACCAACCAACAAGACTACAACAACCAACAAATCAAACTTACAGACCTAACTTCACTTCTCTTCACAAAAAAATCGATTGCTCTCTTTATCTCTAACTCTCTCTCTCTCTCTATCTATATATATCTCCTTCTTCACACACCAACCAACCACAACAAAAATCAAACCATTTTCTTTATAAAAAAAATAAAAATCTATTTTTTTTGTTAAGAGAATAAGGAACCCCTTCGGGATATCAATTATTCAATATTAAAACATATAAATGTTTGTAAATATATATCAAAAAATTATTTTTTTTTCTACATATATTTGAGTCTGATGGTGAATGCCCTTGCAAGGTTTGCCGCAGTCTGTTTCTATAAAATTCGATTCGAACCTTTTGTGAAAATCAAACAAAACAAAAAAATCAGAGGTTTTAATTTTTGAAAATTAATTAATTTCATCCTGAATCACTTTCTGAGTCGATTTATGCATGTCCGTACGTCTGTCCGTCTGCCTGTCCATGTTAAATTGTAAACAAAGTGCAAGTTGTCGCATTTATGATCCGAATTGAATGAAATTTGCCACAGGTCACTTATTTGGCCCAAGGACAAACCCTATTGAAATTGGTGAAAATCGGTTCAAATTTCGATATAGCTTCCATATATATTTTCGTCCGATATTTTGCAACTGGTGCACTAAAGAGTCAAATTTAGGCCGATTGGCATGAAATTTTGCAAAACGTCACGAAATTAGGATAGGCTTACGTGTGCCAAGTTTTATTGAAATCGGTTGAGATTTCGATATAGCTCCTATATATATTTTCGTCCGATTTTTAGGAAATTGTGCACCAAAGTGTCAAATTTTGGCCGATTGGCATGAAATTTTGCACAACGTACTGTTGTTAGCATAGCCCAACGTGTGCCAAGTTTTATTGAAATCGGTTGAGATTTCGATATAGCTCCCATATATATTTTCATCCGATTTTTAGTAAATGGGGCACCAAAGTATCAAATTTAGGCCGATTGGCATGAAATTTTTCACAACGTCACGAAGCTAGGATAGGTTAACGTGTGTCAAGTTTTATTGAAATCGGTTGAGATTCCGATATAGCTCCCATATATATTTTCGTTCGATTTTTAGTAAATGGTGCACCAAAGTCCCTATATATCTTTCGATTTGCACGAAATTTGGCATAACATACTGATTTAAGCCTAGAATGACGTACGTGAAGTTTCGTGAAAATCCGTTCAGATTTCGATATAGCTCCCATATAAATTTCCCTCCGATTTAAGGTAAATGGTGCTCCCAAGTCCCTAAATATCTTTCGATTTGCACGAAATTTGGCACAGCGTACTGAATTAAGTCTGGAATGATGCGTGCTTAGTTTCGTGAAAATCGGTTCAGATTTAGATATAGCTCCCATGTATATTTTCGTCCGATTTAATCAATTTCATGTCAATGTTCTTTCTAAAACGCGACGTCTGTTAGAAGACTATATAGAATATACCCAAAGTTGTAAAGGGTATCATATAGTCGGCTCCATCCGACTTTACTACTTTCCTTACTGGTTCAAAAATTACTGAAATATTTTTTAATATTCCAAATGAATTTTTCATTTGAATTTCAATCTTTTTTTTTTTTTTTTTTTTGTGGAAAAAAATATTCGAATAAATCCACGCCTCTGTAAGACCTCTAAAAAATTAATTTTAAAAAATCTATGCCTCTGCAAGACCCCTAAAAATCAATTTTAAAAAATCCACGCCTCTGTAAGGCCCTTAAAAATTAACTTAAAAAACCCACGCCTTATATAGGTCTTGGAAAATATATATTTTTTAAAAAAATCCACTGCTTTTATAGGTCATAATAAAATTGTTTAATGAAAATCAGGATTTCCTCTATTTAATTTTGATTGAAAATTCCCTCGAATCAAATTCGATTTTATAGAAACAGATCTCGTCGTGAATATATATTTGAAAAAAATAAAAATGTATTTAAATGTATTACCTATACCTTTCTTGATAAAAAGTAAACCTTTTAACGATTTTTCCTCCTCCCCCTCCTCCACGATCTAAATCTTTTATTATATATCTCTATACCAACAACAAAAAAAAAAATAACCTGTAATAATCTCTATATATACTTTTATATATATATCTGTATGTTGATAATATCTCTATATCTTTTTCTTTTGTTGTTTTAATTAAATGAATTATTGTATACCTACTAACCTAACCTAACCTACCAACCAATCTAATTTATTATTATTATTAATTAATTAAACTCTATTAAGCACGTTGAAAAAATTTTAAATGAATTGAGCCAATTTTGTGCTGCTAGCGCTCCAAGCCAAGCAAGCTAATCTGCTCTCTACTATACTCCCATTCAGCCTCCACCGTCCTCTCTTTCTCTCTATAACCATCAATCAATCACTCACTCGCTCAATAAATGAATGAATGAATGCTTGTGCTCGTCCAAAAAAATAATCCCACAAAACCCATCACAAAATCCATCCCTTACCACCTCCACTCCATCCATACATCCTCCCACCAAGCAACCAATAAAACAACTACAACCATTAACCAATTAATTGTCTTTTTGTTTTTATCCCCCTCTTCTCCTCTTCCTCCTCCTTGTTGAGTCTTCTTTCTATCTAAATTCCATTTTTTTCAAGAAGTCATTTCGTTTTCCTTTCTCCTCTTTCAATACGTTTATATACCTTTCATAATTGTAATTATGTGATGTGATTTGAAATTTTTTTCAATTTTTCAATTCTTATTTAAAAATATATATATTTTTTAAATTTTTTTATTATACAATTTTTATTAATTAAATTGTTTTATTTTAAATATATTATTTTTTTCTAAGTAAAGGAAATATTCAAAAGAAAAATATATTTGCTTAGTGAAATAGTTAAGGTTATTATTATATGGTTCCTGTTTTTATATAGGCCATAAGATCTCTATAACCTAGCAGTTGGAAAAGCCATTACCCCATCTTACATGAGTAACAATCATTATAGAGCAGGAATGTCAAAAACATGTCATCCATGTTGTTATTTTATCTTCATTGTATGCAAAACAACAAGATTGCGCGCGCCAACCAACCGTTGAATGTAGTTGCGAAAACCATTGCATACTTTTAGGCGTCATAAATGAAAAGCATTAAAAACATATATTTTGATATAAAATACAATGAGATTACATAGAATTTTGAGAGAAATTAACTGATATCGGGGATTATTTTCAAAGGGAAGATAGGGTACTAGAAGGACCTTTCATAAAACCTTTAAAAAGTGGGGTTATGTGATATAAAAAAATATTTTTTTGAAAGTCTATTTTATTTGGGAGTTCTTGTGCAAAATAGTTAAGGATTTAGATATTTAGTATAGTTCCTGTGTTTTTAAATAGGCCATAGGATCTCTATAACGTAGCAATTGGGAGAGCCTAGAAATTACTTCTTTAATTACTTTTTTTTGAAAATTAATCAGCTCACCAATATTTATCAAGATCAGCCACCAATAAAAACTATGTTCAGCTTGTGTATAGAAACCTCTCCTCCCTCGTGTTGTCTTTACTCCCATTAATCCATCTAACAAAGACTAAACACAGCTCGGTTCAAAAGACCCAGTTCCAGTCTAAGAGATGCCCTGTAAAGACAACGTTAGGTTAGTTTGTTCATAAATATTTTCTTGAACTGCAATATAAAGTCTCTCTTAGGAGCTTCGCTATGAAGACTTGCTTCGTATTTGTTTAGATTTTTGCTTTATTCAGCTATTCAAAAAAAAAAAAGTTTTTTTAGGTTAGGTTTTGCTTTAATAGTTTTTTTAGGTTATGGAAAAGAAGATAATTAAAACTCTTTGTATATATTATAAATTTAAAATGAATTTTGTCTGCTGGTAGCTTTTTATATTCATCCTACACCATAGTATGGTGTAACTCATCATTCCGTTTGTAACTCATCGAAATATTCATTTCCGACCCTATATTCTTTATCAGGGTAAAATTCTAAGACGATCTAGCTATGCCCGTCCGTCTGTTGTAATCACGCAATCATCTGAAGGAATTGAGATAGGGTACTGAAATTTTGCTAAGGTTATCTTTTGTCTGCAGGCATGTCAAGTTCGAAGCCCGAACCGAACCGAATTCGCTGAAATTTGTTACACTTGGCTCTTTTTGGATACCAAATGTCTCCACTAAAAATTATAAATATCGGTGAACTTTTTCCTGTAGCCCCCTTATAACAATACCCCCCCCCCCCCCATTTTCGATATCTTGGGGTTCTTGAGCGCGATTCTCAACCGAATTCGCTGAAATTTGGTACATTGAGTTCTTTTTGGGTACCAAATGTCTCCACTAAATATTATAAATATCGGCCCACTTTTTCTGGTAGCCCCCTTATAACAGTACCCCCGATTTTCGGTATTTTGGGGTTTTAAGCGCGTTTTTCAACCAAATTCGATGAAATTTGGTACATTCCGTTCTTATTAGGTACCAAATCTTTCCAACAAAAATTATAAATATATGTCCACTTTTTACGGTAGCCCCCCATATAACAGTACCCCCCAATTTTCGGTATTTTGGGATACTTAAGCGCGCTTTTCAACCAATTTCGATGAAATTTAGTACATTCGGTTCTTATTAGGTACCAAATCTTTCCATCAAAAATTATAAATATAGGTCCACTTTTTACGATAGCCCCATATGACGGTACCCCCAATTTTATGTATTTTGAGGGGTTTGAGCATGTTTTTCAACCGAATTCGCTGTAGTTTCGTATTTGGTAGTCGTATTTGTTAACAAATCTCCCTCTCAAATATCCCTATATTCGTAATGTTGTAATTCTTCTACCTTCGGAGGATATCGAGTTAAAAATCTACAAGGTCAGGTTGGAGAATAACCTATATCGGCCCGCATTTAGTCCTAGACCCCATATAAAATACCTACCTCAAGGAAGATATTGCGGTGATACCATATGAAAATGTTACGTTCGAAATTGAGCTATATCGGTCCTCAATTTGGTAACTCCAAATGTTCGGTAATTCCTACACGATGTAATCAATATTGATTATCATTTAGATATAGCCCTACATATAAATTTCATTATCCTCCACCCCAAAAATGCAATATCGGTCCACGTTTTAGGGTTTTGAGATTTTTTTTTTGAAAAATCACCATTAAAAATTGCTGACATTTGTATTTGGTGTACATTATGGTTTTCAAAAATCGATTGGTAGAATTGTCCCGTTATATGTCAACATTTTGGTATGATTCTTATATTTTCATTTCACGTAACTATCCCGGCCGACCTTAAGGCCTTTTTTCACTTGTTATTTATAAATTGGAATTAAAAAATTCAAAATGTCTGAGCATTTAAGCCGTCCTAGCCTTTAAAAGATATATTTAATTTTAAATGAACAAAATTCCGCCACTTAATAGCTTATTTTTATAACTGCTACCACCTCCCACAACCAATTAGTTCAATCACCTAGAAATTATCAATAATATTAACAACAAAAACAAATACCACAGCAGTAACCAAACTCTGTCGTATGTAATACCAATTAAAGTGTTCCGCCTTTTTTCCTTTCATGTTAGTAAGCCATTAACAACCATGATGACATTATTCCCAGGGATTTATTTTCCATAGGTTTGTGTGTAAGCTTTGATATTACACAATTGATTTTTTTTAATATAATTGACATTGTTAACAGCCCTCTGGAAATTTATTACATGGAAAATTGTGGGCGAATGACCTGGCGGCCGAACTAAAAATAAAATAAGAGCACTGCGCCTCCTTTTAATTGGGGCTTTTTTTACGTATTTGTATGGCAACACAAGCAATTAATGATGTTGTTGCTTGTGTATGTGTGTGTGCGTGCAGTTAGAGTAATAAAAAATAACTTATTATTTTACGTCATAATTTGACAATACCATTTGTAATCATATATTTAATCGTGTGACAATTGTCATTGTACTTTAGTATAATATTCACATGCTTTTATGAGCTAAACTCCCACACACACACCCCCACCTCCATTACCCCATTTCACATGAGAAACAATCATTATAGAACCGGAATGTCAAAAACGTCATGTTAAAAGTCATCATTTGATATTTTAACTTCATTGTACACAAAACAAGATTGAGCGCGCCATAATGACCAACCAACCATTGAATGTAGTTGCAAAAACCATAGCATACTTCTAGGCGCCACTTAGCAAAAGCATTACAAATTTATATTTTGTTATAAAAAAACAATGAAATTACATAGAATTGTTAGAGAAATTAACTGATAACGGGTAATATGTTGAAATTGATGACAGGGTACTTGAAGGACCTTTCATAAAATCCTTAAAAAAGTGAGGTTATGTGATATGGAAAATATTTTTATTTGAAAGCTAATAATATCATATAAAAAACAATGAAATTATATAGAATTCTTAGAGAAATTAATTAATATCGGGTATTGTTTTGAATGTGAGGACAGGGTACTTGAAGGACCTTTCATAAAATCTTTAAAAAAGTGAAGTTATGTGATATGAAAAATATATTTTTATTTGTAAGTTAATTTTATTAGGGAGTTCTAGGGCATCAATATTAGAAATGCTTGGACAAACGCAAGCTTTTGTTTTAATAAATGAGGAAGACATAATCTTTATTCAAAATAAAAAAAAAAATATTTATTAAAAAACAACTTGAGGTTATATCCATGTTATTTATACACAATGCTTTAAGAAAAATTTAAATCTATTTGAAAATAAATACCGAACATATTTAATACAAATATTTGGTGATAAGCTAAAAAGTTGTCTTAGTTATTAGTCATTATTAAATGTTGAGGTTATGTCAATGATATTTTTCTACAAATTAAAAAAAATTGAACGTCTTGATGACCCTAAACAAGAATTGAAATGTAGAAAGAATAACCCCTGCCCAGCCATCTATAAAGTCTTCCTGTAGCTCGTCTATAAAGAGATACAGTTATAATTAAGAAAATATTTAACATAACCTCCAAAAATTAATGGTTAAAATTGTTGGATTTTAAGGATTGTTTACTCTAACAATTAAAATGTTGTAGCTAAATATAATGAATATATGATGTGCTAAATGTTTATTATTATTATTTCTCTTCGTTAAAACCCAGCCGAGGCCCCATTACAAAATAATAAATAAAATAAAAACATTTCAACACTTTATTATTATGAAAAATACCAACCAATACCAGCAAAGAAAAAATAATACTTTATTAATTTTTCTTTTTTTCATTTATAATCTCCACCATATGATATAGAAAAAAATTTTATTTCGATAAAAAGTTGAGATTAAATTAAAAACAATTAAATTAAATTTTTCTTAAAATCCAAAAATTTTCAAAAACAAAAAAAATAATTTAATAACTATTTTATTATTTTGTCTTTTAAAGCCGTTCCAAAATTGTTAAATAAAATATACAATTATGAAATAAAATCGTTATAAATACGTTATAGCCTCTGTTTTAACCTCACATATTTAAAACGCGTTATTTTTTAAACTATAAACAAAATGTGAGGTTAAGAAGGAACATTTTCAGGAAATGGACATTTTTAATACACTTCTAATATGAGTTTTGTTGTGGATTTCCAATAAATCTATGGTGGAGGTTATATGTTAAATAAAAATATATATTTCCTTTTTTTAATTTTTATTTTTGTACTAATCTCAATTTGTTTTTGGCTTTCTCTCTTTCTTCCCATAAAATCCAACCAAACATCCCACAAAAATTGAAAAAACCCAAATATAGGTCAAACAAGGCCACGAAACAATACTGCTTTGGAATATTCGGCCACAGGTGGTGTGCCAGGCGAATCACCTCATCCCGGTCGCATGAGTTTCTTTTCCAAACTCTCCTCAAGGTTTAGTAAACGGTAAGTGTAAACACACCATTTTCTATTACTTATTTTTCCAAATAACCATTTGTTTATGTTTATAAATGTGTTTAAAAAAAACATCAACAACAAGAACAATAATAAGATTTAAAAAAAGAGAAGAAGTTTGGCACCACAAATGATAATTTAAAAAAATGAAAATTACAATTTAAAAAAAGTATAAAAGAAAATATTAAAAAAATAATTTTTTGAAAGAAAGTTTTTAAACATAGAGACAACATTACATATACATACGTTTATAAAATATGTTATATGTATTTGTTTTGTGTTTATATATTATATATACATACAACAAAATCTATATAAAGAATCATAAAACAAATTATAAAAGAAATCCACAAAGAGTTTAGTTTAATATTATTTATTATTCTAATAAAAAAATAGAAAGAAAAATTAAACAAAAGACAAAAAGCCACCTTTCCCCTGACAAAAGTAAAAAAATCATAGAGAACATTGCAAAGAATACAGAATATAAAAAACATAGTTTTTTTTTTCTTTTAGTAACTAAGGAGTACATATAGCTTTTTTATATATAATATATACATATATTTTTAATAACAATTAAAAAACAAACAAAACATTGTCCTTTTTTATTATATATATTTCAAATTAATAATTAATATTACCATACCACACCACCACCCACCACCAAGTAAACATTTTGTTGTAAATGTCATGTATTTTGTTTATTTTTTTATTAATTAATTAAATATTTAGTAGCAAGTAATTATCGGCAGCTACTGTATTTTGTATTATAAACAATTTTTTTGTTATGTTATGTTTTGAAAATGTAAAGATCATTATTAAACAACAAAAAAATCCATTGTAATTGAAACTAATCTTTGGCACCCATCCCAACCCCCTGCATAATTTGTTTTACTAAAATCCGTAACACCCAAAAAATCTTCTCGCGCACTCTTCTTGATCCTAACAACATGTGGCCAAAACAGCACTCTTTCTATTATTATTCATCAATTTTTTTTAATGCCGCCTTAATTCTTTGTTTTGTTTTTGTTAATTTTAATATTAATATGTATTATTAAGTATTCTCTAATACTACTACTCAATGGATTTATAACAAGCACCCCATATTTCTAATTTAGATTCCAAAAACTCAAACATTAGTCATATATAGAACAACAACCACAACATGTTTTATATGACTCGAAAGAAAAAAAGTATAAAATAATACACAACTCTGATTCCTCCTCTGTGAGATGGATTCTGAAAATTAAGAAAGAAAGAAATGAAATTAAAACAAAAGTTGCAATAAAGAAAGAAAAAAAGATCCTCCACCTACCTGCTGCAATACATCGCACGCACTGCTCGTTCGAATATTCCAAGTACGTACCCAACACAGCTGATAAAAGGAAAATTTATGGGGGTGAAGAGAGGAGGGAGTTTTGGGTTATAAGATGGAATATATAAAAGCTAGCAATGTGCCACCCAAGAATCACAAAAATTATAACCAAACTCCAAATATGCCAAGCCTCGTAGCCATTAAATCAATCCACAAAGCATCATCATTGATAATCCAGAGAACTAAATTGAAAGACAGCCACAGCTTGAAACAAAGAGAGTGCGTTACTACACCTGTAAGAGAATATATATGTAATAATAATTTAAACAACAACAATTTATTTAAAACAAAAATATCAAGTATTTGCTTAATATTTTCCTTAATTTATTTCTATAAGTAATATATATATTGTTTATTAAGTAATTTGTAACCGTAACGTAATTATACACGTTGTCACATAATAAAGAAAACAAAAGAGAGAAAAAAATAAGACGCAAGCATCTATTTCAGAGAGAGCTAAATCATCATTAAAACAAAAAATCAAAACAAATCATGTCTTTTGTTATTTTTGTGTGTAAATGGGTTAACAAACCAAGAGAGTGACGGCGGGCGGCATCATGGATGAGAGAGAGCAAAAGGAAAGCAGCAGTCAGCCATTATCACTATGTACCCCCCTCTCTCTCTCTGTATCAGCAATACATTATGATATGACTGCGCGCCAAAATTGACATGCATTAGACAACGACGCCGTTTGAACACAATGAATGCGCAAGCGTCTTAACGCCCTCACATAGGATGCTGCAAATGCTTTTATTAGTAATAAAAAAATAGTATTCCTTTTTTAATTGTAATAGAATTTAGTACTTATTAAAAAACAAGAAGAAGAAGCATAAACCAGAGAATAAATTCAGCAGATTAGAATAACGACAACAACAACAAAAATCACTCACAATAGAAGTAGAAACACCATAAATATTTTGGCGCCAAATCCACATGCGCGCAATGGCAGCCGTTAGAAAAACGAACACAATGAACGCGAAAGCGTCTTAACGCCATCACATAGGATGCTGCAAATGCTTTTATTAGTAATAAAAAAGTAATCATTTTTTTTAAATTCAAAGACAGAAATTGTAATAGAATTTTGTATTTATAAAAAAAAACAAGAAGAAGCATAAACCTGAGAATAAATGCAGCAGATTAAAATAACAACTACAACCAAATCATTCACAATAGTAGAAACCACAATAAATATTTTGGCGCCAAATCCACATGCGCGCAATGCAGCGAACAGAAAATGCTTGAGAAGTGAATTAAATTAAGAAATATATATTGAATGTAATATAATTTAGTAGATTAATTAAATTTAAGTAAAAAATTATTTAATATTATATTAAACAAAAATATGTTCAAGGCCGCCGCTTTTGTTTTATTCTTTACCTTTACTAAGTAAAATTTAAGTAAAAACTATTTAATATTATATTAAACTAAAATATGTACAAGGCCGCCGCTTTTTTACCTTTACTAATTTTTGTTTTACACTTTTTTTTTGGCTATGTAGTTTGTTATTAATATTAGAAAAATGTTTCAATTTCTATGTATGTATATTTTAAGTATTTAATTTAAACGAAAATGTTTTTTTGGCCGGCTTTTTGCTTTTGCAGTTTGTTATTTTTTTCCCCCAATACTACTAAACTCTTTTTTTCTTTAGACGAAAAAATATATAAAAATAATATTTTTTATTAAATATATACTTTGTTCTTTTTTTGTAAATAGAAATAATTTAAATGCAAATTTCAATACCCAATTTGTATGAAATAAAATGATCACAGCAACATTTTTTGAGCACCCACAAAACAACATCAAACAATAAAAAATACACCAAAAATATATATAAAAATACGCTAAACTAAATTTTTGTTGTCTCTCTCTCTCTTTCTGTGTCGTCATAACAAACATACATACCAAACATATGTATATTTAACATATTTTTTTGGAAGTGAAAGAAATATATTCTAAAAAAATGGCCTAGTTTGTCTTTCATTATTATTATTGTGATTGATAATGGGGGAAAAACTAGTGCTTGTTTTTCTGTATTTTCCCTTTCACTTCTTGTCTGATTTTTTTCTCACTTTACAAATTACAAAAAAATAAAACTCAAAATCAAAACAATGCCAAATTACTACAAAAAAAGAAAACGTTAGGTCTTCTGCTCTTAGTTTTATGGCGTATTTTATAATCGTAACGTATAGTATGTTCTGTTCTCTCTAAAACGTACAAAAAACAATAAAAAAAGAAACAACCCTCCAAATGAATCAAATCAATCAATAATAAAAATATTTTATTAAGATAACAATGTTTACCATACTTCATCCCAAAAAAACAATCAGCAATCAGCAATAGGTAAGGAAAATAAAAAAATCCCCTCTGTGTACATCCATCACTTGAACCTCAATCATTTTTTGTATAGTTTGAAATGTACTATGTGGATAGGAAATGAAAAAAAAAAAAATGTGATAGAAATCTAAGTTTTTCGCAGTTTTATGTAAAATATAATAATTACTGTGAATTATCAATATTTATTTACTGGTGAATCTTACACGTACTCTGAAGCGTATAATCAATTTTTCGTTTTAGAAAAATACATAAAAATGAGTATGAAATTAAAAAAATAGTTTTTTAGAGTTGTATTTTATTATTGTGAATTATAAACATGAATTTTGAATTATTATTAATCTACAATATTATGAGTAAAAGTACGTTTACATTGTACCGGATTTGGTTAACCCAGTGGGTTTAAATCCTCAGAAAGTAGGTTAGCCGGTAAAAAGTTTTAATGTAAATGCCGTAAAATCATACGTCCTAGTATATTTTGATTAATCATGATTAACAGTAATACGCTTTAAATTTTATTTTATGTCGCGATAGACGTCAAATTCTCTTGTCACTTTCCAAACAAAATAATGTTTATTACCATTATAACTGTAAATGGGTAATTTCCAGGAATTTAAAAAAATTTTAATTAATTTGAATTAATTCGTATGTATTATCCTGGCCATAGGACGAAATATATTATTAAAATATCAAACCATAAATCAAATTATATAAGACGATTTAAATTTTATCATTGTGAATGAATAATTTCATAAAAATCCCTGACAAACATTCCTTTTTAAAAATGCAAAGAAATTTCCCAATTGCTATTGTGAATTTATATATAATGTTACTTTCAATATATATTTCAAAAAATTCGAATCTTTAAGAATTTCATAATACATTTTCCGGATTTTTATAGTATTATTGTGAACCATCAAATAAATCTCCTCTGTTCAATTATTTTTTGGATTTTTTTCCAAAAAAAAAGAAGAAATGTAAATTTTTACACTATTGTGAATGTTTTCTTTATTTCTGATCACATGAAAATGTGATCAAAAACAAACATTTTGAACATGAATATAGCGACTTTCCAATGCCTATGTTGTCATTATTGTGAATAGGCACAGTGATTGATTTCCCTCTACCAAGAGCTGTCAAAATTTATTTTTACGCAATTTTTTAATGATTAACTCAAAAGGTGGTCTTTCCGGTTGGAAACTGAAAATATCTCATATATACCGTATTAGGTAATAAAGGTATGGGGCCACATATCAAATTATGTCAAAAAATGTCATACTTCATAATT